AGCATTTCTTGCTTCGTCCTGCGACACTTGCTGTTTTATTTTACTACTTAGTGAGTCCTGTTGCTATCAACCATTCGAAAGGAGTATTTCAGCCGCCTATGATCGCTTTATTTTAGGCAGCAGATCAACACAACTATGACAAGCTGACCACGGATGAGTCAGTTAACTATACTCCCTATGAGTATGGCAGCGTTATGCACTATGATGCTAAAGCGTGAGTGCTCTTTCACAAGTAGTCTTTGAAGACGTATTTATTTGTACAATCGAATTTGTTGGTGAAATCGTGAAGCCCAGAAAAGCACTGTTGCATTTGTTCATTTTCCTCCCAGGTTTGCTACCAGTGGAGTCTCTATGAAGCCAGTGTACCCCAGATACCTCCGTACTATGGGATCGCATATGGTTTCGTTCTACGACATAAGCATCATCAACTACCACTACAAGTGCAATGGTGAGTTGAGATTTTTTGAGAGTTTTCAGGTGCTACAGTAACTGCAAAAGCATATCCCAAGCCATGTTTTTTCAGTGTATGTTTTGTTAACAAAACAATTTCATTTGAGAAAAAGTTCGTCACCTTCCATAATATTGCAGCTATATGTGCAACTAAAGGAGCCAAATGTGTGAACGGAGGGATACGGAATCCGAAAAACTGTAATATCTGCATATGCCCAGCTGGTTACGGTGGCGCAGTGTGTAGTCTCCGTGTAAGCTTTCTTTTAATAGCATGTGTCCCACATGCCTAAAAAATCTAGCAAGTTGGGGAAAGCAAGAGTATTTGGCAGTCACAGTGCAATTTCAGCCAGCTGGATGTGGAGCAGTGCTGACAGCAGCTGCAACTTGGAAAGAAAGGAAGGTTGTTCTGGGCGAAGCCACGAACACCGACATTCGCGACACTTACGCTCTGTGTAATGACTGGATTCAGGTCTGTTAATCAGAGCATTTTATTTTGGGAGGCATCTCTTTGATGCTTGAACTGCTTGGTTTAAGGCACCAGCTGGAAAGAAAGTACAACTTCAAGTAACAAAAATGAATGGAGTGTTTTGTCTCAATGGATGCTGGACGCAAGGAATTGAATTCAAGACTTTACCCAATAAGCTTAACACGAATCCAAGGTTACACCCAAGTTCATTTTCATATTTGCAATTGACACCCAAATTTCAAATACCTCTCGGCTAACCCATTTAGCAGAAAGATGTTTTCCTCAAAACTTCGTTCCAGGATATGCTGTCCAGAGCAATTGAAGCAAGTGATCACCAGCAGTATAAACCCAACTCCAGTCATCAACTACAACAATCTTCGACAGTCGATAATTACCTACCTCTACAGATACATTTGATGTTTTTTGTGTTGTAATTTATAATATTTATTTATGAGGAGCAATAAACCTGACGGTTGCGATTATTTTCTTTTCTTCCTACACGCTTCCAACCTGCTAATGAGTTCCAAAGTTGGTGGGCAGACCACATTCAATAGCTGCTTTTTTTCGGAAAGACCACCAGCTTTAGAGCTCTTAAATATCAAAACGATTTCTGATCACTACTCATTGCCTCTACAATTACAATAAATATTGGGTTGTCCAAAAAATTCTGCGACACTTGGAATTTGAGGATCGCTAGCTATTTGAAAGCAAATAGCGCCCAATTTCGATCTACGGTGAGGTAGACCACACCTAGCGGGGATTGCGAAATATTATAAAAAGGCTTCTTCTCTCACGGAAAAACAGTTGTAGATCCTACAGATCCGAGTATCCTTCGAACCATCGTGTGTCAAGAACTCCTACAAGGACATTTTGCAAGAAAAGCAGCTAATAACATCTGCGCTGCATTCGAGAAAAATGTGGTACACCATCCCACTGTCAGTCGCTGGTATCACCGCTTCGAGTCCGGAGATATTTCTATCGAAGGACAGGAAAATCCTGGACGGAATTGTGATGGGATGCTCTACTACGAATTCCTGGAAAGTGACACTACTGTGACGGCGAGACGTACTCTAATCAGCTACAAAAAGTAGCCTATGCAATCCTTCATAAGTATCGAAAACGACTGGAAACCTATCTCCTGCACGACAACGCTCGCCTCCACGGGCAACGATGACGCGTCAGAAAATTCAGGAGCTAGGTTGGGAAGCACTCATTCACCGTACTCTCCTGATCTAGCCCCTTCCGACTATCACTTGTTCCGAGCCTTGAAGCGTCACCTACGAGATAAGAATTTCGATAATCAGGAGCAACTCAAAATGGACTTGGGCAACTTCTTCAGCAGGCAATCTGCTGGTTTCTGGTGAAGTTGGATCGACAAACTGCCAGTGAAATGGATTAAGGTCATCGATAATAACGGCGACTATATCACTGATTGAACTTGTCTTTCATTGCAAAAAACGATGTAAAAATTTGTGTTGCTGGTGCTTAATACATTATTTTCTGGACAATCCAATATATAGTATCACTTGATCGGATAGTGAATTGCAATTTCGAGGGAAAAGTCTACTCATGCTAAGGTGAGCAAGATACATACGTCAGACAGTTGATGAAAAGATAATGCATGTTGCTAAACGTTAACTTCGACATTTTACGAGTCACCTCAAAATCATCCTCATCACTTGAAATAAAGGTACTATTCCACTATTACAACCCCAAAAACTCAAAATTTAAATTTCGATGAAACTTCGCCTATAGGGGTAATCCGATGCCCTGATAACGAATATG